GAGGAGGGGAAGAGGGAGATGTTCCGCGTCTTCGACAAGGACTAGAAAATGGCTTCATCTCTAACGCGAGCCCCGCCATGTTATGTCCAATGCATCAGGAGAGGCTCACTAATAAGGAGGTCGACGAGATGATCCATGAGACTGGTGGTGGCAGGTGGATCAATTACAAGGAGTTCGTAAGTAAATTCAGAAAAAAAAACAAAACAAGCAATTTGATTAAAATATACATTAAAAATAAAATAATCATTAAAACTATAAAAAAATACAACAATATTCCACATAGAATATAAAATATCAATAGTCCTTATAAAAGTACGAGTTATAAATAGCTAAAATTTGGAATAATAAAATAAGTATTAAAAGAGAAGTCTAAACACAACACGATATGAGATTAAGTACAACTTAAAATCCCTAAAAGGACAATTTAGAATAAAACAAAATTTTGATTTGAATACAAATTCGAAATTAGAATCAAATCACTAGATTCGAGATACATTAAATATTTATTAAAGAACTTTTCTATCTTTATTGATTCACATGCATAACGAATTGCATATATATAAAGCAATTAAAGAGAGCGATAGTAAGGTGGGAAAAAAATACATTTATTACAGTTTGTCGATATTTCTTTAGAAAAAAAAGATACAATGAATACTCAATTAATAATAGATAAAACCTCACTTTTATTTCAATTTATTTTGTTAGAACTATTTTTCAAAACAAACTAATACACATGCCCGCGCGAATGCGCGGGCTATCTTCCTTGTTATTTAAAAAGTTAACATCCTTTGACTGCATTTGAATAAATTTTACATATTCTCTCATTAACCACCTCTATATTAACACTTCATATTTAAGATGGTTTCTCTCATATATTGGCCACACAACACCTTGTTCATATCCTTGCCAGAGTGAGCACAATAAATTGGGTCGTTGTCAGTGAAGAACATAGGTGAGAACAAGTGCTAGAGCCATCAAGATGTATCCAATCCCCTGGTCGATCGCCTTGCCGTCCGGCCGGCCGGAGCTCCGACGTCGGCGAGCGTTCGCCGCGTGCATCTCCTCCGTCGCCGCCTCCCTACGCGCCGCCGGCGAGAGAACGGCGGCGAACATGAACAAGAAAAGCACCAAGGCATGCGCACCTGAAGATGCCATATGTATAGAGAAGATGATGATGATGCGAAGAGAAGAGTAAGAGTAAATGGATTTGGAGATGAGTAGTTTGCTGGCTACTTGGTAGTGTGGTTGATGGTTTGTGATCCTCAGGAGGGTTTATATTTATATACATTATGCAGAACAGAGAATAAGTAAGACAGCAGTTCATGATTAGTCAATTCAGATTCAGTCATGGCTGGCTCTCCTGCACGTACGTCTGTCTAATCGTTCTCTCTTTTTCTTTTTTTTTAAAAAAAGGATGATTGTTTGTTCATTTTTTTGTGATTGGAAAAGAAGTCAGAGTCATGAAAAACATGAATCGCATGCTTTAGTTTTATTCAGACTCCTGCACGTACTGTCGCATGAAACAGAAACAATCCAAATACACCAAATCCTAATTGCTTTCTTATAACATCATCGTGACACACACTACTGCTTTCCGCTTGCAGGATCTTGAATATCCTGACACCTAAAACTTCAGCAACAATATGGAACACAAATTCATCGCACAAATCTTTCTAATAAGATTCAGCTTGGAATAATAGATCATGACAGGTGACAGGTTTAGAACAAATTTTTTTTTGTTTCTTGGGGCTCATATCTGCATCTGGGTTGATGATGTACTGGTGATGTACTGGATCTTGTGGTAAAAAAAAAATTAAATGGAGACAGTACACTTACGTTGAAGGTGGACGTTCATATTCTTTTTAATAATGCATCACTCCAAATAATCTGAAGGAATTGATAATGTTCAGTCTTGTAGCTGCTTGGTTTGTGCTTCACTTCAAAAAAAGATTCTCCAAAAAACTTGATAACTTCTTGATATAACCCTTTCTCACAATAGAACTACAAGATTCAAGAATATTGAACTCCTAAATAACTATGTTCTTCAGGGACACATATCACCTTGCCAATTAATTAGATGATCTTTCCTTCTAGGCATACCTCTCCAAAAGAATAGCCTTTTTCCCTGAAAAAGCAATTGAATTATTGTCTGATATGATGTATTCCAATAATCATACATAAACGATTTCCCTTAGATTATATTGAAGAAAAATGAGATTTCAAAGAATCAATTAAGCCTGGGCTTCAGTTGGGAACTGTCCAGTTTCAGGCCTGTGCTAGTTTCCAGATTTTTGTACAGTCATTCATGTTTGTAGGAGGTTCATAATGGGAGAAATGCATTTTTTTGGAAGGATGTTTGGTGTGATAGGGTGCCTCTGAAGGTTCTTTTCCCTGACTTGTATGAGATTAGCTATGATCAGGGGGCCACTGTGAATGATCTGTATGAGGGGGGTGGTTGGAAGCTAGATTTTAGAAGAAATCTTAACCCTATGAAGGAGAGTGAGCTCAACAATTTGAAATCTCTGCTCAATGGGTGTCACCTGGATGGGGAGAAAGACCAACTAATCTGGCCACATAACAAGAAGAAGCTATTTTCTACTAAATCCATGTATTGAATTTTGACTTTTGGAGGGGTTAAGGATACTGATATGTGGGAGATTTGGAAGAGCAAATTACCTCTGAAAGTTAAACATTTTCTTTATTTAGTGGGTAGAGGGAGATTACCTTGTGCAGAACAACTGGTTAAAAGAAAATGGAAGGTGGTGATGAATTCTGTAAGATGTGTGGAAAAACTTAAACTACTAACCATATTCTGTTTAAATGTCCTTAACGTGGTTTACTTTAATTGGTGAGGTCTGTTGGGCTGTGTGGCTCGTTAGGAATGATTGGGTTTTTGAACATAATCTTGTCAAGTCCCCTTCGCAAGTGGTTTATAAATCGATGTCTTTTATACAGAAGTGGTGCGCATTGCTCAAGGAGGAAGACTGGGAGCTGCTGGGGAGATGGTGTGAGGCAATCAGGATGCAGCTGATTCAAGTCAGGCCCCAAGTGTTGCCAACGTCTCTGTAATTGAAGTAGCCTGCTTGTCTGCGGCTTAGTTCCTGTGTGGGTTTCTCTCATGTTTTGCCAAGAACAGCGATCGAAAAGCTGGTTGTACCAGGTGTTTGTTTTCGTTTTGTCAGTTTTTTTTTCAGTTTTGTATAAGACTCTGTTTTGCTTAGGCTTTCTTCTAAAGCCGGGATCAATATATTGATCTGTTCTAAAAAAAAATCATAAAATCATGTTTGTAGGGACACACCAACCTATTTTCAGTGGCACAGAGGGACAAACGGTTCCAACAATTTCAAAACACTCGGTTGCAACAATTTCAAAACACTCAAGATGAAGAGCACTCTCTTAGGACAATTAGTTGTACTGCTATGCATAAAAGCAGACCTTTTTCTTCAGAAGTTTTTTGCAAGACTACATGGCAGGAGTAGAAGACACAAAAAAATTACACTGCTTTACATGTTATGAGGGTGGCTAAAATAAAGCACATAAAAGAAACAACTATGGAAAACACCCTTGGATCTGAAAAAAGGAAAAAAGTTGTTCTTCGTCCAGAAAATTAGTAAAAACCAGGAGTCATCAAGTGAAGATTGTCGTCAGTACAGTTATTTTTGGCTGTCCAGGGTTAATTTTAGTCTTATTTTTTCCTTCTTTTTACAATTCTCACAAGTTTTTCTCCAAGTATTTGCTTCAATTATTTATTATCAGGGCTATTATGCCTGAAAGTGCAAGCACACAAATTCAAAAGGCAGATATTTTGTTTTACTACCAGACAAGGACATAATTACTACCCCAGATCCAGTTTACCCTGTGTCCCTGACTTCATGTGTATGTTCCTCAATCCGGGCCTATCGATGAGTATAGGGTGGAAATATTGAAGTAAAATCGTTGCTCATTTGCCCAGGATTTCAACCGAATCAAATGAGGCCTAAAAGTTCAGAATATGTTAAATAGTCTGAATCCCAACTACTATATTCAGCTAACTCCATGTGATTTGTGAACCTCCTCTCTGCTGTAACTGAGGCCTGAAAATACTGTAGCTTATCTGATGACGGATTATCTAAAAAAAAAATCTTATGACGGATATATATACACCAGCTGTAAATGTAGCCTGCGAATTCTGTCTGTAATGGTTTTCTTTAATGAACATGATGCTCTTTTACTTGGTAGGTGTACAGCTCAATCAAGTAAATAGTGAAAACAAACTTGCCACTAACCACTGACTGAATGTATTTATGCTCCCGTTCAGAGTAAAAATCATACTTTTTCCGTATTTTGACAGACAAAAAGGAAATAACAAGTGAAGTTTATCAGACCTTTCCTCTTTGTATTATAGTATTATTTCAACTAAAACTCCTGTTGAAGGCTATGATTAGATTCAGAAGTTCAGAACTAGGAACACCTACTGACCCACATACTCACTGACTCGCATACTCAATTGGCACAACTCCAGCTTATTGACAACTTATTGACACCAGCTTATTAGACTTTTGTTGACTGAATACTTACATGAAGGAAACATCTTTTCATGTTCTTTTCCTGCTGTTCAGTAATAATAACAATGATCTGCAACAAGTACAACAGACTCTGCAACAAGTCCCTTTTCCTGAAGATTAACAAAAGAAAACACTCATTTTTTTAGATAATGGGAATAAAACCCGGCCTCTACACAAACATGGCTGTACACAGTCACAACAAACAAGCACTCATGAAAATTAAGTCGACAAACTGAACATTTTATTGAACAAAGAAGGCCTTGAAATGCAATCAACAAATTGAATAGGATTTCATAAACATGGTTACATTGACAACAAAATTACATGGATTGCGTCAATCAACAATGACTGACGATGATGAATGATCAGGCCTAACACAAGACTTGAAATCAACATCATCAGTACTAAGTTACAGATTGACTGACAGACTACAGACATGTCTTCAGTCCTCCCAATCTAACCAAACAGAGGCGCGAAGCCGGCGAAGTTTGCTTTCTTGGGCTCCTCGGCGAACCACCGGTGCTCCAGCGCCTCCGCCGCCGTCATCCTCTTCTCTGGGTCGAACGCCAGCAGCCCGAACAGGACCTCGCGCGCCGCCGGCGAGAGCTCCGGCAGGACATCATAGAAGAGCTCGTTGAGCTGGTCGTCCAGGTTGGCGGACAGGTCGGCGAGCAGCTCCTTCTCCGTCATGTCGCCTCCGAACAGCGGCGCGCCGGTGAGCAGCTCGCCCATGATGCAGCCAAGCGGCCACATGTCGACGCCCGGGCCGTAGCAATGGTTGCCGGCGAGTTGCTCCGGCGAGGTGTAGGGCAAGGTGCCGACCAAACACTCCTCGTATGGCTTCCCGGTGGGGTTGACGAACGTCGCCGAGCCGAAGTCGCAAACCTTGAGGTCGCCAAAGCTGTTGAGGATGTTCTCCGGCTTGATGTCCCGGTGGATGACGTGCGAGGCGTGCATCTTCTTGGCGGCGCCGACGAGCTGCCGCATCATGAAGCGGACTTGCTTCTCCGGCCGGGCCCTCGGTAGCTCGTCCCGGAGGCTGCCTCCGACGAACTCCATGACGAGGAAGACGTCCCCGGACTTGGCGTCGGCGACGACGTCCTTGATCTGGACGATGTTGGGGTGGCCGGTGCACGCGTGCTGGCAGGCGGCCTTGTTGCCGGTGCGGCGGTGGCGCGCCATGATGACGACGCCGGAGGCGCCCTCGCTGACGACGTCGAGCTGCTCGTAGTCGTCGACGCTCGCCAGCGCGTACCTCCGCGGCCTCTTGGCGCCGGCCGCCGCGGCGGGAGTACTGGATCGGCTGGCGGTCGGTTCGTGGTCCGGCGCCGCGGCGCGCTTGCGAGATGCCGGTGGTGCAGGTGCGGGTGCAGGCGCCGCCATGATTCGGAATCGGAAGCAGAGGAGAGGAGATCGCGAAGTCGAGGAGGAGGAGAGCGAATCAGCGAAGCGATGAATGGGGGGGATCGGAAGAGAGGAGGATATGGAGGCGTGGTTTTATAAGCATCACATCGGACGGTCACGACGCCGACTCCGATTCGTACTTTTTTTTGATGAAAGCGAATAACCCACCGACTCGGACTCGTCGCGTTGCCGCGCCCACGCGGACTCCGATCCAACTCCGACTCGGATTCGCGAGAGCTCGCTGGCCATAAAGCTTCTAGGCCGGCCGCCCATGGCCATTGCCATCCGTCGTCCATTGTCGCAAGCCCTTCCATTTTCCCTCCTCTCTTGGCTCTTGCCGCTCTCGCCAAGACCTACTCGGCGCCTTTGCTTGCATGGCCGCTGCCGTCGCCATGGCGTGCAAGCGCCCAGCGCCCGACGGCGGCGACGCCTTCCTCGCCGCGGCGTCGCCGTGTTGCAAGAAGCCCCGGCCGCTGTTCACCAGTATCTTCAACTACGAGTATCTCCACAAGCTCGGGGCGGGCAGCTATGGCGTCGTGTACAAGGCTCGCGATCGCCGCACCGGCGAGACGGTCGCCGTCAAGTGGGTGCGCCCCCGGCGTGGCCTTGACCACGGCCAGCCGGCCAACCTCGCCGCGTTCGCCAGCGAGCGCGACTGCCTCGCCGCGTGCCGCGGATACCCGTCCGTCGTCCAGCTCAGGACGTCGCCTCCAACCCTTCCAACTGGGACGTGTTCATCGTCATGGAGTTCGTCGGCGCGAATAGCCTCCGCGACTTCATCGCCGGCTGCCCCTTCTCCGAGGGCGAGACGCGCGCGCTGATGCGGCGGCTCCTCGCCGGCGTCAGGGCGATGCACCGCGCCGGCATGGCGCACCGCGACATCAAGCCGGGCAACATCCTCGTCGGCCCGGGCTTCGCGCGATTTGCGACTTCGGGATGGCCACGACGGCGCCGCCGCCGTACGAGCCGTACATGGTCGGCACGCTCCACTACAACTCGCCGGAGCAGCTCACCGAGAGCGGGCTGAACGGCAAGTACGACGCCAAGGTCGTGGACATGTGGGCGGCGGGCTGCGTGATGGCCGAGCTCCTCACCGGCGGCAGAGCGTTCACGTCGGAGACGGCGAAGGAGCACCTCCTGGAGCTGGTGGAGCTGAGAGACTACGACATCGGGTCCAGGAACTCGCTGGCGTTCGGCGGCCTGCGGTGGCTGTCGCCGGCGGGGCGCGAGGTGCTCGCTGGGCTGCTGGCCTTCGACGGCGACAAGAGGATGACGGCAGAGGCGGCGCTGGAGCACCGGTGGTTCACGGAGGAGGCCGACTCCCCTGCCGTCCTCAGCTGTCTCGCCGCCATAGCTTCATGAGGAGAGCTTATAATTGGTGCCTAATTATAGTGTCTTAATTGATTCTTGTAATCTTATTCTTTTGTAATTATAAGAGTCCGAGTGTATGGCACCCTCATCTCTGCAACAATATGTGTAAACTGCAACTGTGATTTGTAATACAAATTAGTCCCTCTGTTCCAAATTATAAGATATATAATTTTTTTACACAATCTTCGATGATATATTTTGACCAATAATTTATTTCATATTAAGCCATCAACGACTATAAAATTAACATTACATTAATCTGATGAGTATGTGTCAACGGTTGAGGACGTGAATCAGATATCGATCAAATGACCTCCAAATCATTGCATTATCTATATACTTTGTTAGCAGTGATGCTTTCGCTTTTGGTTACGTAGCTGCTACACTAATCTGCAAAAGGAAAATGAAAAAGAAAACATAGCAAGGCATTTTGAGCTTAAATTTAGTTAGCATTATGTTAAAAAAAAGTTAACAGTTATATAAACTATTTACATGATTGTTCGTTAAGATCCAAAATCTTTTGCTTACCTGATGCTAATTTTATGGGCATTTGTCAAGTTGTTTACAAAATCTTCTTTATCCTTTTCATGGCACGGAATAATCTAGCAAAACTAGCCCCAAGAAATTTTCTATTATACTCACTTCAGTGGGATAATTTTGACCTATAAGAACAACAGAAAGAAATTGCCCTTTCTATTTTGCTTTTAAAAGTAGAGTTTCTTTGCTTTTCAATTTCACCTCTGTATGGATGAAGATCACAACCATAACTTCTGCTTGAGCTACCCTGTAGTCACAACAACGACCTTTGTCTTGATAACATGCTACATTTCTTTTAGATCACATATACTTGTATTATGCTCTCTCAAAACTATTTGCTTCATGTTATACTAGCCACTAAGTCACACTTTGTGCGACAAGGAATATATACCCACCCGTAAAAAAATATTTAATATATATTGAAGTGAAAAATATGTGCAATGAGTAGTACTTAAAAAATAATCATATTTATCGAGAGAAAGAGGAGTTAAGATAAACGGAGCCAAGCGTGGGAAGCTAATTAATTCATTTTATTGATTTCTCATTGGCAATCAATATAAATTCACCAGTATATACAAATATTCATTTGATTAAGGTGTAAGTAACAATACGACACTATAAAATGCTTCTCTAGAGCACCACATAATTAATGAACTCTAGAGCACCACATAATTAATGAATTATGACGATATATTAGGTTCCTTTTAAGGCCCTATTTATGCTGAATGGAATATAAACGATATATGAAAAAAAATTGAATTGTTGAATAATTTGTGATACTTATTTAAGAGTATACACGAATTTATTAACTATTATAAAATTTAAAATGGATTTAAAACAATATTTTAAGAATTTCATATGTAGCTCGAGAAGCATGACACCGAATAGAATGTGATGTTCATGGCTCCACCATTAGATAATGAATGTAATGAAGTTGGTATGAAACTAAGTGTGAACGTAACTATGCCGTTGATTTTTTTTACTCACCCGCCCAACATGCGGTGCTTGCAGCTTTGCGAGGCTTCTACTGGAAGCTGCTAGTGTCTTTTTGAGTACGGAAGTACGAATCGAACGGTTTATACAATTTGCTGCCTGCATCTAACGGTGGACAATTTGTAGCTTACGTGACTAAATTAGGATTCAAGAAAGATTAATTCTTTCACTACTTTAGATTCTGATAACTGAGTCACTGCATTATCCTCTAGATATTAAAATCTAAATTGAAGTCTACCATAGCTCAAATTCAAGGGGTTACATTCGTATGTTCTATTTCTTCATAATAACACAGGTTTTGTTTTTTTCTGTTCATGACCTTATTTACATTTTCTTAAGTTGACATAGAGTGCTGGGACTAAGAAATGCAGGTGCAGAACTGGGACTTTAACCACTGTACGATTCAGTGAGAGAGCAATGCTCAATTGCTCATGCTAAACAAGGTTGTGGTAAATGAGATATCACAAGATGATGGATTTGGTGATAAGTTATATTATTATCTTCACTGAATAACAAATAGTTAATTCTCCTTATTTCACCATTGATGCTAATCTCTAAGTATTGATAATATAATATCTTTCTAAGGAAAACATATTTGATATGAACCTCTTATTGTTTTCGTAAGGAGAAATAAAGTTGATCTCTCATTGTCAATAACAAAAGCAACTGAGTTTGATGGTATGTAAAACTAGATTTATCGGGTAAGTTGAATGTAAAAATTTGTGATTATGTAGCCAATTTTTTGTTTTGGATATACAGATTTAGTTACGATCAATTCTTATTTACCTGGCTTCATAATTAACAGTGCACTAGGTCCATCCAATTCAGCTGACCTATACATACTAATGCGTGGCAAATCCGCGGTTATTTTCTAGTCTTAACTATTGAAAGGTGAAACTCAAAATGAAACGAGGATGAGCCATATCATTCGATAAATATTAGCCATTGGATTCACTACAAGACAAAAGAGGATAAATGAATCTTAGCCGTTGGATTAGATGGATGGTGCAAACAATAATTTAAGAGATTTCCGTAGATGAAACTACTAGAAGAAGAAAGGAAGTGGAAAAGTTAAAGAATATACATATGAAGGTATAATGTTATACATATAATTTACGATTTGCATCTATTGTAAAAACTATTTACTAAGAAACCCTCATCGTAGCTAAAGATTCATTTGATTAATTTTGTTTCTAACAAATAATTTTAATATATTTTAGGAAAAAAATACTATAAAGACATGCACAGTTATGGTCGCCATAATACAAGTTTAATGATTGGGTAAAAAAATATAAGTTTAATGATTTTCACATGAATTTAAATGAAATCAAACTTATTCCTTAAAAACCTACAAAATATTTGTGCATAGGCTATAAAAAACATGTGCCAATAAAAAGCAAGGGGTCATGCAACCACGTAGACCTATAAGACAATAACTTATAAAATTTGTAACAAATATTAAGCTATTTAGTGTATTATCATAATATTAGTTAGTCTGACCTATGTTTTTTTTTAGCAACGACCAACGAGAAACCTATAAAAAAAGATTACCACTCCCACATACCACATAATAGAAGGACTAGAGTCGCGCGAATGGGCAATATCATAGTCTAGTTATGATTGAATTGTTTAGTGTGTAGCTCTGCTGTATAGTAATTCAGTATTCAGCAGCCAACAACAGAGAAATTGTTTTACATCTCTAGCAAGTAACTATCTATTGCAAGTTGTCATTTATGAGCTATTTTTGTACATGTTCTTTAGCATGTAGGTGATTGAAAATTTTTAGCTAACTCTCTACCTCAATTGGCTTGAACCGAGAGTGGTTAACTGCAGATTTGAGCGTTGAACACATAATTAAGTTGCATTAGCTAGCTCTAGTGGTCCAGAAGCATTGTGCCTTTGTCTTCCCTCCTTTCTCTCCATGTTTCCCACCAAGCTGCTGCTGACGTTGCTCTTATTTGACACGTGTCACTCTTGATTTTTTGGTGGTTGCATTCAGATAAATATTTGATCCGGTTGGGTAAAACTTTGTAGATATACAAGATTAGCCTTATTTTATTCTATCATTTTTTCCCAACTTGCAGTGAGATGTACTAATATATTCTAACTGAATGTCGCATTGAATATCTGGCAAATTAAACATATCAAGACACCAATTTTCCACTGCATTGTCTTCATCATTGAATTCAAAATAAAAAACAGCATATTAAAACATACCAAAAGTACATTAAAATTACATTTTCTTCAACAGTATATATATGCTATTGTGAAATTACTTTTATACCTCAAAATAAAAAACAGCATATTAAAACATACCAAAAGTACATTAAAATTACATGTTCTTCAACAGCATATATATGCTATTGTGAAATTACTTTTATACCTCAAATGTAGCAGGATTATCCAAATCTATGTTATTATCATCCGTGTGATTTGTTGTTAAAATCGTTGAATTCTGCAAAACAATAAATCATTAAACAAATTTAATTAGTATTGTCAAAAGACGCCAACTATTGTTAATGTGATATTTTAGTACCTGAAATGTTGGCGCGCCATATTGAAATTTGTTCCTGTGCATTAAATTGTACAAATGGAATAATGCAGTAGAATTTATTTACACATAAATTTGGCACTTAGGATAAAAATAGGAAAAATTGCCAAAGTTTGGAAGTCTGCCAGTTTCCTCCGAGTGGGCCGGTCTGACTGCCATGTGTTGGCCGGTCAGACCACCGGTGGAGGGCCGGCCAGACCGGCGGTGTGTGGCCGGTCTGACCGGCAAGTCCAAGTCCGGGTCTGTTTTGCTGGGTCTCGAAGTTTTCTTACTCGGAAAGGTATATTTTGGGTTTACTCGAAGTTTTCTTAGACATGGAGGAGGGCTTGTAAAGGGTAAGACCAACCTCTATATAAGGGACATGGCCAGTTCAATTGTAACTAATCAATCTAAAATCAATCAATCGAATCGTTTTTCATATTGCTTTTAGTTTTCTCTTAGTTTGTCCATCTTTGTCGATTTGCGCCGTAAATCGTCCGCCGCCGCTGCGAGAGTGCGACATCTCTTTGTAGGTTTGTCCTGAAAACCTTCCGTTTTACCCACAAGACTTGCCTGAAGGTATTGCTTTCTTTTTTTTTTTTTTTTTGAAGTGGCTGAAGGTACTGCTTTGCATATCGGTTTCTTAGCAGTTGTTAGTAAGGAAGATAAATTAGTTGTCTGTGGTCCTGAATCATCTTTCTTTGGGTTGTTGATATGGTTCAGAAGACCAACTGCTATCTAGGGCGAACAATTTATCATTTAGCAAACTGCATGATGGTACTATTAATTAAGCAAGAAATTTGAGACATATACTTGATGCTGAGTTGTTGATTTGCTGAGATAAATTTGAGACACAATACGTTGAAATGCAAATATTTTAGGAGCTTGGTGATGGTAAGGTTATCCTGCACATGCTTGGGTTAGATTATTGCAGGTTGAGATCGCATTCCTTTTATTTGGGGGTATAAATGGTGGAATATAAATCAATGTTATAATCGTGGGACAACCTGATGTATATTTTCAGGTTCACTTGCATGCTTTCTGTTGTGCTCATTCCAGTAACATCCTGAAATCCAAGTACTGACTTTGAGCAGATCAAATTTTCATGTGGCAAAGAAATGGAATCCTTGATGAATTGTACTCACCTTCATTTGTTCTAGTTAATGGAAGTAAGAACCACTTCCTACAGTCAACTGAACATCAATTAAATTCGTGTGGCAATGGACAAAATATTTAGAAAAGTGAATACGAGCTCACGGTTAAGGTTTATGAATTCAGTCCGGTGATGTTAGTGCTAAAGAAAAATTGTTCATTGATGGGTTTTATTCCAAGAAGAATTTAGATATGAGGTGCTGGGTTCGACTTCCCATGGGAGCGAATTTTCTAAGATTTAACGGTGTTGTGCTTTCAGTGGTAGGCGACATACCCGTCGACAGCGAGGCGCCTATGGTGATTTCGTTAATCTCTCCAGGATTTGCTGGCCCAGTCTTTGAAGATGCTCATAGGGGTAGAGTTTGCGTACGTGTGTTCATAGAGGTGAGTGCGCGTGCGTTGTGAGTGTCTGCGTTGTACTGTGTAATTCTAAAAAAAAAAGAAGAATTCAGAGATGTTATGTGCTTCAGCTGAGTATGCTAAATATATCAGATGGGTATCCAATATATATCAGATGTTACTACTAGCAGCTGTTACATGGACGGTTGATGGCTATGTAATTCCAACAGGAGATGCTATGAAGATAGAGCAACATTTCCAATGTGATACATTCAATGCAAGACAGACAAAGTATAGAGCGAAGTTATTAAGCCATATGTGAGCAACTCTAAGAAAATTCAAGAGCTACAGGTGTAATGGGATCCCGGCGGTGAGTTCCTTCCATAATTCATATGGACGAGCCGAAATTCAAAGAGGGAATTGTTAGGAATTCAAGTGGGCCTCGCAATAGGGAGGTTCTCACGCAAGCATTGGCCCAAGCTAGGGCCCCAAATAGAGAGACAACAAAACAACAACAATAGAGGGATCTAAAGTGAACTTATTCCTTCAGGAGGCCATGGAACAGAACATTGGCGAACGGCGGTGGTGGTAACCTGGAATTGGTTGGCTCCTTGCTGATTTCCTTCACCAGCTCTCCTCCTTACTCCAGCCCCTTACCTTAGCTTCTAGAACCTGTATCACCTTCCTCTTTTCTCCTTCAGTTTCACCTCAAGCAGCTAGTTGTACTCGTGAGTTGTATTAGAAATTGTTATTATTTTGTTGATTGACAGAAGTGGGTTGTTAACCTAAATATTATGCTATCTAGTGATGTAACTGAATCTTTTGCATTTTCCATGCAATATATCAGTAACCACTTCCACTCATGGAAGATGAATTATAGACTACTAGAACCGATGAAAATCTACAATTATTCTGAATCTAAAATCCAGCAGTTCAAATAGTACAAACCAACATTTTCATATTTATTGGATAAAACAAAGATTTTCAAGGAAACAGTTACAGAAAATAGGTCCGGCTGGTTGAAACAGAAACCCCCGGAAGAGGCGGGGAAAGCCGCCGTCGCGGCGGACGAGGGGAGATGTGCTCCGGCGGGAGGCGCACGAGGTCGCCCCGGTCGAAGTGGAACCAGGAGCAGAGAGCTCATCCATGGCGGCGGTGAGGGAAGGGAGGCCTCAGGGAGGATTCCGTTCTTCTGAAGAGCGCGACAAGGAATCAATTTTTTTACAGGAGTTTGCCATGGAATCGATTTCCTGCCTCCTTTCATGAAAGGAGTCAGATTCCTTTGGCTTTTTCTTAATCTGTTTTGTAGATGGAATTCAACCAAGGAATTGAGTTTTTTCACACCTGCAGCAGTGACAACTGAAAAAGGTTCTCAGACTGAAGAAGAGCTCAACTTTAGTTCGTCCATGTTCAGATCACGCAGGTTAGGAAATAGTAATTTGTCTTCACTTAATAAAACAATTATCACTGTAAATTTTCTTGATTGACAGAGATAAACTGAAAATTTCGAGCTCAAACTTTGGTTCTTAACAGTAGGCAACAGATGATACTTCATGAATCATACATGTTCAGAGGATGCAGGTTAGGAAACAGAAATTTTACCTTTAGAAAGTTATTTGCAGATAAATTTACAGCATAACTTGAGGCCAGAATTTCTATGATACTAATACAATCATATTCTAGTATAACACTGTAATTATTTTTCCCTATAGATAACTGAAAATTTTAAGTGTCTGACAAAATTCTGAAGAAACATTTGTATCAACTCTAGAGTTGCATTTCTACATGTAAGCTATTTAGGAGATAACTTTTCGGCCTCGGAATGTTGTTAAAATCTTCACATTTCTTTACTTGTCCATCCTCATTAGATTGTTCACAACTTCCCTCATGGAAGGTCTTGACTGGCAAGCCAATTGTGTGCAGTACATGGCCAGGTCCAGCAAGTCCAGTGCCTTTGCCTGCTCATCTTCAGGCCAGTACATGATCTCCTCATCGAGGCATTCCATGATGACGCGGCGATCTGCCTGCGTCAGGTTCGATCTCATCCATGTCACAATGTCCACACTGTCCCCGAATGCAGGATCCACAGGCATCTTCCTGCACAGGAGCTCAAGTAGCACTACTCCGTAGCTGTAGACGTCGCTCTTTTCGGTTAATCTTGTGTAGTACCCATGCTCTGAGAAGAAGACATAACGATTGTTGAGTACTCAAGTTCAAGACGACTGTGATCTGAGGAATATGCAAGTGAAAGAAGGAAGATTACCGGGAGCAATGTAGCCGAGGGTGCCAACAACAACTGACACCGTGGCATCCAAATCATCATCTTCAACAATCTTCCCCATGCCGAAGTCTGTGAGCTTCGGTACTAGCTCGGTGTCCATCAGTATGTTGCTTGACTTGACATCTCTATGAACAATCATGGGAACACAATCATGATGCAGATAAGAGAGGCCTTGTGCTACACCGAAGGCGATCTGGTGCCGGACTGTCCAGTCAAGGGCAGCATGAGGCTTCCTTCTGTGCAACAGTTCAAACAGCGTCCCCTCGGGCATGTACTCGTAGAGGATTAGGCCGACGCTTCCACGGATGCAGTACCCAGCCATCCTGACGATGTTCCGGTGCTTCACTGTGTTCAAAATCTTCATCTCAATGGGGAGTTTGCATTGTGACAGATCAACTGTCTTGACTGCCCACTGCTTTCCAAGTTTGCACTCTGTCCGGTAGACCGTCCCGTGCCGACCTCTTCCAATGACATACTTCTCGCTCCAATTGTCAGTGCCACGGAGGATATCTTCGTAGGTCAATTCTTCTGGTAACTCCTCAGTTGAGTCCATATTACGGACCGAGACACGATTCGTCGATAGGCGCTGAGACCTCTTCAGAATGTAACGAATAGCAAACAGACTAGCAACCATAACAGAGAAAGAGGAGATTACCAATCCGACAACAATCCGTGTTTTCCAGGTTCTATTTTTCGCAGATTGACTCTTCAAGCATGGTGCATCGCTGGAGTGTACACATAATTGAGGATTCCCCAAAAAGCTTTCAGGAGACTGCGCGGCGAGCTTAGCCCACCCAGCTGGGAGCTCACCAGATAGCTTATTAAAAGATAGATTAACAACAGAAAGTGAGATCATGTTGATCAGCTGTGATGGAATTATACCAGACAATGAGTTATTCGACAAGTCAAGTACTTCCAGATCCTGAAGGTTGCCGAGGCTACTTGGGATTTGTCCGCTCAACTGGTTGTTGCTAATGTTAAGAGCTTTAGAGATGTACTGAAGACTACCTAAGCTGTGTGGTATAGCTCCTTCTAAGGAATTATCACCAAGCTGCAACTCGAGGAGGGCCTGAGTTGCAGTGAAGGAGTCTGGTATTGTTCCAGTCAGGTTGTTTCCAGCAAGTAATAGATTTTGCAGGCTACCAAGTGTTGTGATCTCTGCTGGAATACTTCCACTGAGAAAGTTATTTCCAAGATCCAGAAGGGCAAGTTTCTTGCAATTTCCCAATTCATGTGGTATCGGTCCGGTCAGCCTGTTTGATGACATGCGCAGAGTTCCAAGATTGCTCAGGTTGCCGAGCTCACGAGGTATTGGACCTGAGAAGCTGTTGCTTGAGAGATCAAGCTTTGTGAGGTTGCTCCATGAACCGAGCGCACTTGGTATTATCCCTTCAAGTAGATTGCTGCTCATATCTATGTATGACAACCCCCAATTGGTGCCAAAATCTGCAGGTAAGCTCCCATTGATCTGATTATTGTTCAGATTAACCCTGTACAGAGACTGACATTTAGCTATCTCACTGGGAAATCCTCCGTCAAACTGGTTGTATCCAAGATCAAGAACTGCAAGCTGGCCTCCCGTGCACAAACCAGGTGGAATTGCGCCACGGAAATGGTTGCGAGTGAGGTCAATATGAAGAAGCCCCGGTGTTGTGTTCAGCCCCAATTCCTGTGGTAGCTCACCAGTGAAGTTGTTGTTGTACAAGGTGATATTCGTAAGATTCCTCATTTGAGTGATATCTGAATGTATCTCACCACTGAAACTATTATTGTTGAGTTGCAGCACTGCCATGTTGGATAATCGCCACAATGCCAGAGGAACTGGACCGCGGAGTATGTTATCGAACAGGCTCAACTTCTGCAGTTGGTTGAGCTCGGCGATATCCGGTGGTATCATCCCAGAAAGGCTGTTGTTCTGAAGTGCTATTTCCACCAATCCGCGGCATTTCCCAATCTCCGGTGGAATTTCACCTGTAATTCCATTGTCCGCAATCGAGAACAACTGCAATCGGGTCAAATCACCGATGAACTTTGGAATTGAGCCGGTAAACCTGTTGCCATTCAAGTAGAGCATTGTCAACGATCGACACCGCCCAATTGCTTCAGGGATTGTGCCGGTGAACGCGTTTTCCGACACCACCAATTCTTCCAAATTCACAAGCTCACCAATGCTTGCCGGCAACTCCCCGACGAAGGCATTATCATCAAGGTAAAGCGTTTGCAAGTTAGCCATGGAGGCGAAGAAATCGGGCACCTCGCCGCCGATTTTGTTGTAGGATAGATACAAGACGGTGAGGTTGCCGCAGTTGGTGAGGCTGCGGGGTAGCTCTCCGGCGAGCTGGTTGGAGTAGAGGCTGAGGTAGACGAGCCCGCACCGCGGCGGGAACTCCGGCATTGGCCCGGATAGGTTGTTGCTGCTCAAGTCCAAGTAGGTGAGCTCCGGGAGCGCGGCGGCGAGCTCCGGCGGAATGGCGCCGGAGAGGGAGTTGACGCAGAGGTCGAGGTACTCGAGAACCGATGAGCCGGCGGCGAGGCCGGTGGTGGGGATCTCGCCGGTGAGCGCGTTGCTGTTGAGGTCGACCTTCCGCAGGCGGCGCGAGGAGAGGATCTCCGGGGGGACGGCGCCGGAGAGGGAGTTGAAGCTGAGGACGAGCGTCGCGATGCAGGAGCACGCCGCGAGCGCCGCGGGGACCGAGCCGGTGAAGCCGTTCCGGCTGAGGTCGAGCGCGGCGAGCGCCGGGAGCGCGCAGAGGCGCGGCGCGGACGCCGCCAGCTCGCCGGCCAGCCCCGCCCCGGAGAGGTTGAGCGCGGCGACCGCGCCCGCGGCGTCGCACGTGACGCCAAGAAACGCGCAGTGCGGGGCGCCGCCGCCGCCGCCACGCCGCCATGACGGCCGGAGCACGCGCCGCGACGGCGGCGGCAGAGACGCAAGAAACGAGCGCAGGACCGCGGCGGAGTCCGCTCTCTCCGGCGGCGGCGGCCGCGCGACGACGGAGGCGGCGAGGAGCTGGAGGAGGAAGAGCAAGAATCGGGGGGCATGCGACATGAGAGTGAGCTGCTGCTGCGGCACGGCGGCTTGACGTCTTCTTCGCCGCGTGGTCGTGGTCGTGGAGTGGAGTGGTGAGTGCGCGCGTGGAGGAGGAGGGACATAGAGAGAGACGCGACATGGATGGAGCTATCATGGAGGAGGAGGAGATGGAGGGGAACCTGGAACCTCACCATGGTGGGCGGTGGCGGCGGCATCGCATCGCATCGCGAGGTGGTGGTGGTGGTGGTGGTGGTGGTGGATGCCGCCGGATCGGCTGCGGAGCGCGCGCGTGCGTGCGCGCGTCGCGTCCACGGTCCACCTCACCGCAGCGCACACTCTCCAGGGATGGATGGAGACGGAGGAGAAAGGTGGTGGACTGCTTTTCGGCTTTAGGAAAAAGAGAGAATTCAAAGACAAGTTCCAATAGGGAATAACTAGTGCCCCTTTATTGGAAAATGCCTCAATTCCGTCGTCCCATCTAGAGAAAAAAATCGAACACATCTCACTATAACTTTGCTGCATGCAGCCTTGTATCCTTTTTTAGATTCTCTTTTTACACACATGTTACATATGCTTTCTTACTAATTATTAGGGACTGTCTATTGTTCAGTCGACAGAAAATAGGGGTCCAAATCTGTCGATTTTTTCAACCAATAGATTTTGATCTGACAGTCCAGAAATTTGACAACTAAAAACCGTAACAAAAAATAAAAAAACGAATCTGTCAAAGGCCAACTTAAAAAGCCCACACTTAGGCCCAGATAAGAAAAAAAAGATATGAAAAAGATTACGGGCTCAAAACAAAATTTAAGCCCAAATAAAGCCCAAAAATAAGGGAGCAAACCCCCGTGACAAAATTTGCAATGCAAGTAGATTTTGACACAATCACGTGACCAATGATCAAAAGAGGCAAAATCTCAGAGAGAAACACAGATAGATCGAAGAAATGACACTAGGGGAAAAGATGGAGATGAAGGAAAAGAAACACAAAATTGCAAAGATTAGAAAAGAACAAGGTTCTTCCAGACAAAAATCAAGGGAAGAAAGTTTGGGAATCAAAATTCAAGAAAATATCAAATCTCAAGGTACCTGTGATTCTTTTGAATTTGTACATGTAACTAGCTACAGATCTGGACTTTATTCTGATTCTTCCTTTTCTTCATCTGATCGATATCTTCTTCTAATCTTGTGTCTTTCTTTTTGTTCTTACAACAAAACAGAGTTTAGAAAAAAAAAAGTAGACAAATAGAGGGCAGCAATAAAAAACATCACCAGAAAAAACAAAATGATGAATGATGATTACAGATTTGTTATTGGAAATTTGTATTGCTTAGAGCTTCTTTTCTTGTTTAGCGGTTTTGAAGACAGAATGCTTGGTTTTGAAGTCTGAATGCTGAATGATGATTACAGCTTTGTTTCTGCAAAGCTCTGAAATCTGCACTAACGTTGAGAGGGCTGAGAGTTACAGTGAGATGCATTCTGGATTTCAACAACCTAAAAGATAATATCTGGATACTAAAAGATGTACAAACCCACAGAGTTACAGCAATACTGCAGCCAATCTAATAGATTACACTACTTAGGAGAAGTTCAATACAGAGAACAAAGGAATATACAGATATCTGAATACACTGAATTTTGCACTATACTGCAATTGATTTGGATCCTTTGAAAACACTGAATATTGATCTACACTGCAATTGATTTATAATCAGCATTCTGTCTTCTAAAAATCCTCATTGAACAACAGACATCAGACAAAAAATACATACAACAGAAGAAACTGATTCTACACAGCAATTAGAACAAAAATAAGATTCTGAAATTTGAACCAAATCTGTAATTTGAACCAACTCTGAAACAAACTGATTGCAGTTCAGGTCCTTTTGTGCTAAGAAACAGAACAAGATTTACTCTGAAAATTCTGGTTGAACAACACATAGTTGTGTTCTATTAAAAAAGTATGAAAGAACAACACACAAACAGCCACAGAAAATGGACATCACAACAAAAATAATTTGCACAAAACCACATTCGTATAATCTGAATGTACAATAGAACAGACAATAGCACAAGAACAAGAAAAAATTACACATAGAACTGCATACTTGATTAGCCATCTGAAAGTCTGAAACACAAGTATAAAACTTCAAAAACAATATAAGAACAGCACTCTACAGCAAATATGTAAGTAACATCTTGTAGACTTAAGACTTTACAGAAACATCAAAGATTTCGTATATATTTGATCCTGTTTATAGAATCAATAAAATCTGTTAACACTATAAAATCTATAGAATGTTACTGAACAGACCATAACTCATAATTGCATATTAACTGATTAGCAGGAAATTTAGAAATTCATAGGAAAACTCAATTAGAGCAAATTTAAACTTCAGTTCTCAGACAATAACGTGCTCTGAATTTTCTTAAGAAACAAACATCCGAGTATTCATACATATAGCTGCAAATAAAATTAAGATTTCACAACAGAGTTTTGGGAGATTCAAATAATACTACAAAACATCAATTCTCAAACTATAAATTGCTCTGAATTTTATTAATACGGAATTGCTATTCCTCAAAACTACAAAACTTCAATTTTCAGTATATTTCAGGGACGCTATACTAGCACATCAATCAAAAGGATATAACAAACTTAAAGATACAGAATATTCGAAGCATTCTAAAGTTCAGACCATAACTAAAAATTGCTCCAAGATGCCATACACCATTCAAATCACTTAATTGACAATATTCAGCAGCATTCTAAAATTTGTTCTTAAATTACAGTCATTTTGTACAAGAATTACATAAAACAAACACTGTAATTTCAATACCAAAAATATGTAACTAACAGGACTTAGAAATTATCTGTTTGTGATGAGCAGACATTCATCTAGCACTTGAGAAAAATACTTCACAGAAAGTCTAGTGAGCTTAGTATCATATGTTGTATCCTTCTTCATTGAATTTTTCTGCAGAAGAAAAGTGAATTCATTTAAAAAAAAGTTATACATAAATTTTAAAGTCATAAAGACTATAAAAAGCATACGGCTTATTTACCTTTGTTTTATGACAGTAGAGTTTTCTTTTCATACCAATCAAAACATTATCTCTATATATTTCAAGTAAAGATGAATCCAACTTATTTTTGAAATCAACAACTGTTGATTCAGTTCTTTTCCTCTGTGAAAAAAAAAAGGAAATGCAAAATTTTTAAAACCTGAACATGGTACTAAAATACATCCATTTTCACATATAGTATTAGAAATTACAGCGTTTTTGTTTGATAATTACATAGAAAAAACAATGTAATTTCAGTGCCAGAATTATGTAAATGATATCCAATTTTAGATTCATGAAGAAAAGATTGAAGTTATAAACTTAACTTTGAGTTTGCAATGTATAATTCTATAGAGCAAAAATGGTTGACACGAGCAATAGTGCTGATATAAAGTTTAGGCATGCAAATTTACTAAAAAAAAATTAACTACAACAATAGTGCAGAATAAAGTGTTGAAAGAAAAAAAAGATATTTTAGCAAAAATAGAGTACAAATGAGCAAAGAAAAAAAATAGTACGAATCCACATGCATGGATTCAGTTTTTACATACAGAAAGCAAAAATAAGTCTGAACTGAAAATAAAAAATAAAAATTAAGTGGTTACCCCTGACATATTGAATTAGCTAGAATGAAAATCTTGCAAAAATTCAAACATACAGCAATACATCTGACAAGCAGATAAACAAAATTGGATCATCTATACACTGTCATCGAGCACATGACAGATAAAAGGGAAAAAAATAAAAGGTGCTATACATTAATCAACTCTTAAAAAGATAGTAAATATTCCTCTGATTCTCCAACCTACTAAAACCTTTCCAGACGAACCCAGTAAATCTCTATACACAGCCTCTCCAAAACCAACTTAAAATGAAACCACCAAAAATTATAATTATAGCAGCCAAACAATTCCACAAATATACTAGCACAAATCTGCCATGCCAAGGACACACAAATGTAACCTACAATGAGAAGCTGCCACCCATCAAAAGAAGGGAAGAAAAACTCAGTAAAACGATTCTACCAACACAATTGGTCCAAATACCACCCGAATTCATCGCACGGAAACAACTCCAACCTCTCTACAAATGACAACCCAGATCATACTCAAAAATCATGTTCAGCTTATCAGAGCACCTAAAACAGTTGACAACTAAATAAGACTAGAAATACAGAATGCTAAGCATATAAAATCTCATGTCTCTGCATAACACCACCTCGTGGTACAATTCTCTCCTATTAAAAAATCATGGGAAGATAATAATGATTCATGTAGATCTCATAGATCACATATCAATACAAAAAATCAAGACACATAGCACAAAAGTTAATATGTAAATACAAAAGAGTGCACATGCACATGCAGGAATCCATTCACATACACGATAAAAAACACAACAACAACTAGTATTTCACATCAACATACACATGCAAATTACCATTGCTAAGAGCCACTAACTCATTATTCAAAAGGAAAGGCCAAAAAAATTATTACAGATCCACACCAAAATAATAACTCACCTTAGATGAAAAATTATCAGATCTAGCTTTGAATGAAACATCAAAATAGGAGCCAAAATAGAAAGCAAAAAACCTGCAAAAAAATTTAGAATAAATCATGCAAGCATAAACGAAATGGTTCACATGCATGTGATCTACTCAAGGATGTGTGTTTTCATCGTTGCAGGACTAATCTAATCATCTAAAAAATTCGCTCCCCAAATAAACGAAATGGTTCAAAACAAAAATGCCATGAGAACAACTACAACTACTCATACCGCAACGAATTATACAGTGACAACGAAAAAATAGAGTAAGTCCACAAACAAAATCGAGAGTGGAACCGGAAATACATCAAGTTATGGTATGAGTTAGATCTAATAATCTAACAAATCGCAACCAAATCAACGAAATGGTTCACAAAACATCGCAATGAGAACAAACAGCTACTAATCGATCTGCAACAAATCAAACAGTGCCGCCAAAAAATATACAAAATCCACGAACAAAATCAACACTGCAGCCGGAAATAATATCAACTAGTCAAAAAAAAACAAAAGAAAAAACACCCTAAAAATGTCGAATGGTGATGACTACCACTGCAAAAAACAATGGGACATCAGAAGAAAAGCAAGTGAGCAACTACTAAAAACGCCGACGACGAGGAAGACCTTCAAATCACGAACTAGTCGCTCCGACGACGACGACGACGACGACGGCGCCACGACAAAATCTCCGGCGACGACGGCGAAATCACCTCCTCACCTCAGTGAAAAAATCGCTTCCTCTCACGGCAGCTTCTCTAGTTCTCTCTCTCTCTCTTCAGTTGTGTCGGAAAAAACGAGAGAAAAAGTCAAGGTGGGACCCATAGAACAGGCAAAAAAAGTAGGCGCGGATTTCGAAAATGAACAGTGCAAGTGGGACCCACATAACAACCCAGAAACGGGCCATGTATAAACCAAGCCCAAAAACAAAATGCACAGCCCAGAAAAAAAACAAAGAGTTCAACTCACACCCAGCGAAGCACGAATCACAAAGAAATACGGACGGCTAAAAAAACGACAGATTTGGAGACCTAAAATCAGTCGACAGACCATTAGCAAATCCGTAATCATTATGCATGAAGGAGAAAGTTCGCGAGGTTATTTTCATATACATAACACCCTTTTAACAAACTTGAAAATGATTTTTCTTCTAAATTACTCATCTAATCTATGATCCAATTATATTATTGTATTCGTTACAATTAAATCTTTACAATAAGATCTCACATGACTATATTATAATAAAAATACACACATATATTTCAACCAATTAAATTTAATGTTTCACATGTGAGAATCAGATATTTCAGCTGAAATTATATTATGTTGCACATATTTAATTAGTGTCGCAATGTATATATCTTTCTTTAATGTATCATATGGTGCTATTTGTATATTTCAGTTGTAGTTTATTATATTTCACCGGTTTTATTTAAAAATGTTGCATATGTGTTGGTTGAGTGTTTCAATAAGTATTCACTAGTTAATTAAAAATGTTGTACACGGTATAATTTATATGTTTCAGCAAATATTAAAAATGTTGTAAATATTATATGATTGGATTATACTATTATATTTGTTGTAATTAAATGTTTACAACAAAATCTCACATGATTACATTCCGATAAATTTTAAATTTAGCTTAATTTTGTGTTGCAGTTGATCCTTTTTCTAAATGTTGCACACTGATTTATTTGGATGTTCCAATAAATATTTTCCGATGTTTCTTTAGTTCATTTCGCAAATATTGCATGTCGTATTATGTGTATGTTTCAGTAAGTGTTACTTTATGTTTCAATAGCTATAATCGATGTTTCATGTACATGTGCTATAAAAATATTTCAATAAAATCAAGTATTTGTAAATCTATAGTATGTAACATACTATTTTCTTCCGTGTTTCATCATATTTGTTAAGATTCAATGTTTCATGTAAGCAATGACTAGTGTTGCAATGATATTAAATATTACATCTCTTCGAAACATTATTAGAAGCGAGTTGAAACATTTGACCTCAAGTGCTGAAACTTTTTTTTATAACCAATGAAACAATACCTTTTTTAATTATTTTTTATCAAAATATAATCATATTGGATCGTATTGTAAAGATTTAATTACAACGAATATAATGGTGTAATCAAATTATAGATTGCATAAATAATTGAGAAGAAAAAATCATTTAAAGTTTTCTAATAAGAGTGCGTCTCCGGTGCTTTTTACTTAGAGTAGAAATCAATCTAAACCGCTAATTCGTTTTTATCCAAGGGATTAGATTTATTTATACTACCACCTTATTAAGAGTAGTAGAAACGTGAGAGGGCAAATTCGTCCATTGAAAAATAAACATTGATGGATAAATTTGTAAATACGAATTGGAAACTTTGGGATGAGATCGATGGTGGTGGCGCTACAGGAGGGGGTAGAGGCGGCTACCGCGGTCGCTGCTATCGGCGACGGCGGCTAATCTGCGTGTGGACACTCATCGCCAACATGTCCATCTAGGCGAGTGTTTGTAATTCTTCATAGACAGAGGAGAATGACCAGATGCAAGGCCCAACGATTGTTTGTTCCGTATTTCCTCTGACTTCAATTGTACAGAGAAAATTTTGAAGGTTGTAAAATTTGTGTTGATGTCTTTGTAATTTAATCTTCATAATCCGTAAAGAGATGGATACTTGAAAAGAATATCTACTTAAAGAGAATTCGATAGATATTGGATGGATGGTTACTGGCGAAGGTCAGTTGCCGAATCGAGTTGGCACCGCCGCCGGTGTAGGTGCGTAGAGATACAGCGAGAGAAAATGATATAAGCGGCGACACCAACGACAGATTCAACTATTAACGGAAAAATAAATATCAAAATTACCCCTAATTAACTATACAGGTAGCAAAATACTAATATACCCTTAGAAATCAACGGCTCAGATCATTCTACTTGTAGTAGAATACTACCAGTAGAAAGCACTGGAGCGTGACTCGTATTGTAAAGATTTAATTACAACGAATATAATGGTGTAATCGAATTATAGATTGCATAAATAATTGAGAAGAAAAAATCATTTAAAGTTTTCTAATAAAGTTGATTTGTGCTAGCATTTAATAGGAGAGAGGAGAGATAGTAGTTAAGTCACCATGCACATAAATAATAAAGTAAGGAATCAACAGTGCATAAGTGCATAGCTACATGTATGTACCAGAGTCACGTGAGTAGCGCACAGCAGCCCATTAGTCACGTGAGTAGCGCACACCAGCCCATTGTAGCGTACGATTTTCCGTATTCTATCGAACGTCTGATCCCTAGTTCTCTCCCATTTTATTAGGAAAAAAGTTAACAAATTACCTACATTTATTTATTTGGAAAATGGGATAAACCCGATCTCTACATCCAGCCAATAAATTACCTATATTTGCACCGTTAGTTTCACTGTAATTTTTCTAATATACGAATTAGAATTAAAATTAACTGATTACTTATTTGGAATAGAAAACAGGAGAAAATAAAACATTCATCATATGCTTACAACATATAAGAGATATATCAATTACATAGAAAAAAGATGACTGAAATCAAGAATAAAATGTGGCGTAACTTCTTTTGCAAAACCGTAAAAAAACCATTTGTTGTTTTTTCAATTGAACACAAGGGAAATGGGAACTTTTCTTTTGACAAACTACAGGAGGACCACCAATGGTGTTTATAATAAACAGAAAAAATATATATAGAAATACTGTGTCAACAGGGGCTGGAAATTTTGACATCACTGACATGCATAGCAGAAAAATGTTGTGAAACAGAGCAAACAACCTTCTATTCCTACCTGTTATACACCATACTAAAACTTCATCATCCCACCAAAATGTAGTTTCAAATAACTATTAAAATTGGAACAAAGAGCATCTTTGGTTTGTTGACCACACTAAGGTAGTGTTGGGCTGTATTTGATTTGTAGCCTTATCAAATATTATAATATTTTTAAAGAAAGAAAACTTCCGAAACTACCAAATTTTCATACAGTAGTAATGGACTAATGGTCATTACAGTATGTTTGGTTTGTTGCTTTACAGAAATTTAGTAGGGTTAAAGTAACAAGAAACCAACCCAAATATTCATGCTTTTCGTTTTCCATAAAGCATTTGTGAGGAGTAGGGGTGAAAGTGGTTCGGATAGATTCCGTCCGTCCAGACCATTTTTCATATTCGGATAGTTTCGGTCGGAACTATCCGGAAATTCTCGGATTCGGAAACGAATTCGGATTTTTTTTCTCGGAAACGAAAACGAATACAGTAAGGTACTATCCGTCGGAATCGGAAAACGGTCGGAAACTATCCGGATTTTTTTCGGATATCCGCAGACATTGAGCAAAGTTTAGAAAAAATATGTATATATACATAACTTTTTCATATGGAATCAGATGGCGACAAACTTTATATCAACATTGTAGAGCTCGATGAGATCTACAACTTTCTTATTGACTATTTTATTATTTGAGGTCATTTAAGGAGTCTAAATATTCATTATAATATACCATATTAATTTTTACAAAATCTCAGATCTACAATTCAAACGACATCTGATGGAGATGTGTTCCATATCAAAGTTGTAGAGCTCAACGGGATCTACCACTTTGTAGTTTATAACATTTGTATTTGAAAGCATTTAAAGTATAAAACAAACATTACAAGTTTTGAAGATGTGAAGTAAAATAAATAACATCTCCAATTTATACAATGGTAAGTAAGTTATACATCTAGTAAAAGGTCATGAGAATAGAAAATGGTAATCATATTTGTATATGGATCTTTAAGAGGAATAGCCATGAAAATCGATTTTCACATAGGTTTGTGGGACCGTCTATAAAATTGACTATATAAATATTGGAGATGTTGAACTAAAATAATAAGCGATATCTCTTCCTTGATCAAGAAACTCAATTTGAGGGGTTTTTTATATACCGGTAAATATCCGCTACCGTATTCGTTCCGTCTTGTATTCGCTCCGTATCTGTATTCGATAATATTCGATTTCATTTCCGTATCTGAGTTTTCGATTCCGATTCCCGAAAAAAATATGAAAACGAATATAATAAAGCTAGTTTCCGTCCGTATCCGATTCGTTTTCATCCCTAGTGAGGAGGACTAATTATCCTTCAATTTGCTAGATAGGACAGTAAACCTTTTCGTGTCTATTTATCATGATAGTTTTGAAAATAAGTGCAGCTCAAGAAGCTCACATGTTTTGAGGATTTCGCATCTGACAATCAGATAATGTATGTACAGAAAAATCTTCGATATGTAAAAATAATCAAAATGGTTCATGAGCTATTCATTGAGGAAATGTCTGAACAAACCAAAAATGAAAACTCTTCAAGGGGCAAGAAATCAGAAATTTTCAGAACAATTAAAATACATGGCAATATCAATCGGACTGCTCAAATCAAAGTATTAAACACATATAAAAGTTTATAACAAAGACCAACTAGTCTCCATTGGATGCAATAAACATTATCGGACAAGGTTCTCTAGGCCTCTAAGAAGATTGAGATATCAAATGATTAGGTGGTTAAGAAGATTGAGATATCAAATGATTAGGTGGTGAGGAATTTTACAGTCCTTGAGAATGTACCGTGAGGTACCTAAATTTTACACTAAAATTTTTTTTGTACCTTGAGATATTTTGTACCTAGAGATATCAGATTTTAGACTAGAAAATATGGTACCTCTAGGTGCTTTCTCAAGGATGGTAAAATTACCCATAGGTGGTGCTGATTGATCAAAGCCTTGGAAAGTTTCATTCAAAGGGTAGTCAAAGACATACTCTAAGAAGAAAAAGCCTAAGGTAGTGAGGTGACAAACACATGCCACCACAGGAGGAAATAGCCAACCCCCAAACCTGATGACAGGAGGATAGAAACTTGGTGATTATAGCTCCAAATCTGTTTGATGTTTTCTGCTGAAGATCAACCTGATTTTTGGCTGCAATCCTGCAAGAAAGGGTTAGCTAGCTAGGCTGATACTATAAACTGTAGAATGTGGACTACTGTAGAAAAATCTGAAAAACGATTGTAAAATTCTGTATACGGTATACCACTTTGCCAAGGTCTTGTGAAAGTTTGCAGAAACAAAATTATAACGCACTTGAAATACACTGTACAATTGTATCTTCTATTTCACAAATGATAGGATATAGTCGATCTCATGGAGCTTCTTCAAAGAACTGAACGTGATTACTTCTCTCAATCCTCATCAAGATGCTCACCACCTCCCTCATGGATGGCCTTAACTGGCAAGAAACCTGAGTGCAGGTCATCGCTAAATCCAACAAGTCCAACACCTTCGCCTTCTCATGTTCAGGCCAGTATATTATCTCCTCATCCAGGAACCTCATGATGTTGGAGTGATCTGCCTGATTCAGATTTGACCCCATCCAAGTCACAATGTCCACACCATCTCCAAATGCAGGATCCACAGGCATCTTCCGACACAACAGTTCAAGAAGCACTACTCCATAACTGTATACATCACTCTTCTCGCTTAATCTCGTGGAGTATCCATGCTCTGTGCAAAAATGATGAAGCATGTTAATACTGAAAATAAATAAAAATAAATTAGCTCAGGATTGATATGAAGAGAAGAGGGTTCACCTGGAGCAATATAACCAAGGGTGCCAACAACGACAGACACTGTCGCGTCTGCATCATCATCATCAATGATCTTCCCCATCCCAAAATCTGTGAGCTTGGGTACTAGCTCAGCATCCATCAGGATGTTGCTCGATTTGACATCTCTATGGATAATCATGGGCACACAGTCATGGTGAAGATAGGACAAGCTCTCCGCCACACCAAGGGCGATCTGGTGCCGGACGTTCCAGTCAAGGGACACTTGAGGTGTCCTTTCATGCAATAGCTCAAAGAGTGTCCCCTCGGGCATGTACTCATAGAGAATTAGGCCGATGTTGCTACGGATGCAGTACCCAGCCATCCTCACAATGTTCCGGTGCTTCACCGTGTTCAATATCTTCATTTCAATAGGGAATTTGCACTGGGACAAATCAACTGTCTTGACTGCCCACTGCTTTCCAACTGCAAGCTCAGTCCGGTAGACTGTGCCATGCCGGCCTCTTCCAATGACGTATTTCTCACTCCAGTTATCAGTGGCCCGAAGAATGTCTTCATATGTCAAGTCTTCTGGCAATTCTTCGGTGGAGTCCAGGTTGCGCATTGATACACGATTTGCAGATAGACGCTGAGACCTCTTCACAATGAAATGAATAATAACCAGACTAGCAATCATCAAAGCAAGAGTTGACACTAGCAATGCCACAATAATTTGTGTGTTCCTTCTTTTGTTTTTCGCAGATTGATACTTTGTGCAAGGTGCATTTCCGGATGGTACACACAACTGAGGATTCCCTAGAAACCCTTGAGGTAACCGTGTTGCAATCTTATCCCATCCATCAGGGAGCTGACCAGATAGCTCATTGAACGAAATGTTCACAACAGAAAGTGAGATCATGTTACTTAGCTGCGATGGAATAGGACCAGATAATGAGTTATTTGACAAGTCGAGCACTTCCAGTTTCTGAAGATTACCAAGGCTGTGCGGGATTGGGCCGCTTAGTCTGTTATTGCTAATATTCAGACCTTGTGATATGTACTGAAGGTTGCCTACGCTCTGTGGGATGCCTCCTTCCAAATTATTGCTACCAAGTTGCAGCTCAAGGAGGCTCTGCGTTGCGGTGAAAGAATCCGGAATTGGTCCAGCGAGCTTGTTTCCACCAAGCAAAAGATTTTGCAGGCCACTAAGTGTTGTAATTTCTGCAGGTATACTTCCATTGAGAAGGTTATTTCCAAGATCCAAATGGGCAAGCCTCTTGCAATTCCCCAACTCATGTGGTATTGCTCCGGTCAGCCTGTTCGATGACATGAGCAGGGTGTCAAGAATACTTAGAGCCCCGAGTTCATGTGGTATTGGACCTGAGAATTTGTTGCCAGATACATCAAGCCTTGTAAGATTGTGCCATAAACCAAGCGCACCAGGTATCCTCCCTTTGAGCAGATTTCCACTAATGTCGAGGTGTGTCACACCTCTGTTGGTGCTCAAATCTGCAGGCAAGCTCCCACTGAGCTTGTTGTTGTTCAGATTAACCCTGTATAGAGACTCACATTTTGCTATCCCACTAGAAAAGCCCCCATCAAACTGGTTGTTACCAAGATCAAGAACGGCAAGCTGGCCTCTCGTGCACAATCCTGGAGGAATTGCGCCGCGAAAGCGGTTGCGAGTGAAGTCCACACGAAGAAGCCCTGATGTTGTGTTCATCCCCAGGGCTTGTGGCAGCTCGCCGGTGAAGTTGTTGTTGTACAAGGTGATCTCTCTTAGATTACTCATTTGAGTGATATCTTCATGTACCTCACCACTTAATCTGTTGTCGTTGAGAAACAACTCCACCATGTCAACCAATCGCCACAATGCTTGAGGAACTGGACCATGGAGTAAGTTGTTGTACAGGTAGAGCTTCTGTAATCGGCTTAGCTCACCGATCTCCGGCGGTATCGTCCCGGTGAGGCTGTTCTTATGGAGTTGAAGGTCAACCAATTGCCGGCATTTCCCAATTTCAGGTGGAATGCTCCCAGTAATGCCATTTTCTGCCATTGAGAACATCTCCAATCTGCTCAAATTGCCGATGAACGCCGGAATTGAGCCGGTGAAGTTGTTGCTGTTTAAGTACAGCATAATCAAACACCGGCAATTCCCAATTGTTTCCGGGATTGTTCCGGTGAACCTGTTCGCCGTCACCACCAGCTTTTCCAAGCTCACCAGCTCACCAATGCTCGCCGGCAACTCACCGGCGAAATGGTTGTCGTCAAGGTAGAGCTTCTGCAGATTGGGCATGGAGGCGAAGAAATCGGGCACCTCGCCGGTGAGATTGTTGTAGGACAGGAACAAGACGGTGAGGTTGCCGCAGTTGCCGAGGCTCTTGGGGAGCTCGCCGGCGATCTGGTTGCGGTAGAGGCCGAGGAATTTCAGCCGGCAGTGGACCGGGAACTCCGGCATTGGGCCGGTGAGCCGGTTGATGCTGAGGTCCAAGTACCGGAGATCCGGGAGCGCGGCGAGCTCCGGCGGGACGGCGCCGGAGAGGGAGTTGCCGCTGAGGTCGAGGTACTCGAGCACCACCGGCGAGCCGGCGGGGGCGGGGATCTCCCCGGTGAGCGCGTTGCCGTTGAGGTCGACCTCGACGAGCTGGCGCGAGGAGAGCAACTCCGGGGGAACCCCGCCGGAGAGGTTGTTCCCGCCGAGGAGGAGCGTGGCGACCCCGGCGCACGCGGCGAGCGCGGCGGGGACCGCGCCGGTGAAGCCGTTCCCGCTGAGGTCGAGCACGGGGAGCGCGGAGGCCGGGAGCGCGCAGAGGCGCGGCGCGGAGGCGGAGAGCGCGCCGGTGAGCCCCACCCCGGAGAGGTTGAGCGCCGCCACCGCGCCGGTGTCGGAGCATGTGACGCCAAGAAACGCGCAGTGCGGTGGAGGCGCGGTGGCATTGCCGCTGCTGCTGCTGCTTCGGCTTTGCCGCCATGACGGGAGGAGGAGGCGCTGGGAGGCGGGTGGGAGGGAGTCGAGGAAGGAGAGGAGGACGGCCGCGGCGGAGGTGGAGGCGGAGGTGTTCGACGGCGGCGGCGGCTGTGCGGACGTGGCGAGCGGGAAGAGGAGGAGGAGGAGGAGGAGCGCGAGGAGGAGGAGGAGGTGGCGCGACATGCGAGAAGGTGGTGGACGCGTGGACTGCTTCGGTTGTCGTGCGGTTCGGATGGATGGACGGACGATGATATGGAACGGAGTTGGTTATGCTGTGCTAGTGGTGGTGGCTGACACTGTTATTAGCGCCTGTCCGTCAAGATGAGTCAGAGTGCACGTTTGTTAGGTCTCTGATGTATCACATGATGAAAGTCATGGAAAAACTATAGTAGTCACTAGTCTTTTTATAATAATTCTAAAATCCTCAACTTTTATAAAATATATAATCATATATATAATCTAAGAAACAGATCTGACAACTCTTTTACCATTTATTTTACCTCGTTTAATGTAAATCAGGGAGTTTTATCTTGCGCGATATTCATGTTGTAGTCTAGGTTAAAAAAGAAAAATATTCATGTTGTAGTCTAGGTTAAAAAAGAAAAAATATAAAATAATAACACAACTCACATTTTATCCACTGCAATTTCCCCTTTCTTCATTTTTTTCCTCCCTATCCTCCTTTCCTATATTTGCTTAGGGTGGGGCAGCCCTATCACATTAGCAAGCTCGTGGAAATGTCGGTGCAGTGGCAAGGGCAATGTCAGCAACCACTGGGTAGAGAATAACGTGACTAGCGACAAGTGAATCTGGCAATCTGAACTTAATGCATTGTTAGAGTGCCTAGGCCATGCAGGCACCGATAACGAGTTAGCGTGCATGATGATCAAGAAGAATGCTGACGATGATGACTTTATCAGGTCCAATGCGTTTATTGCACTCATCGCTGTAATGAACCATGATACAACTACCATCGAGAAGGATGACTATTGCCACATCTTCTAGGTCTTAATCTCAATGCTAGTGACAACATCTTGCTGTTGAGCTTTGGTGTGTGCATGCCCCAATGGCCTTGGAAGAAGGCCTCTATATATCAAGCCCCGTTGTCGCATTATGAACGCTAGAGAGAGAGAGGAGGTGATGGAAGAAGTGAATAATTGTATGACATGTGGGGCCTATCCTATTTTATTTTTGTATTTTACTAATTATGCTAGCATATAAGGTAAAAACAAACCCAATTGAGATTGATATGCGTACAATAGACCGTTTGACAATTTAAGGGATAACTTATGTCTGATTTCCTATATTTTATGCATTCCACGAAATACTCAATTTTACGTAAAACCAAGGAGTAACATAAATGTCTTACCCCCTCTGTTCAGGAATTCATATTAATTATGACTGATAATAGATGAACTTAATTTGACCACTATTTTTAAGGCAACATTCAAGTAGATATGTTTAAATATTAGCAAATTACATTCAATTACAAATCTAATGGTACAATTATGATGCTATATAATTAATATTTTTGAAAAATATTATTGACCAACGTTTATCACCTCAAAGCCAAAACTTACAGTATTTTAAACGGATGGAGTACTAAATTTCTTGTTTTACAGTAAAAGAAAAGTATATTCTCTATGTTACCACTCAAAAGTGTCTACTTTTCTGCTTGCTAAGTAGGTCAACATCGTTTAACATGCAAAGTGTCTCTATTTTATCATATGTACTCTAAACAACAGATCTGACAACTCTTTTACCGTTTATTCTACCTCACTCAATGTAAATCAGGGAGTTGTGTCTTACACAATATTCATGTTGTAGTATAGGTTAAAAAAAGAAAAATAGAAAATAGTAACACATCTCACATTTTATACAGTACTAGAATTTCCCTTTTCTTCATTTTTTCTCCCTATCCTCCGATCCTATGATTGTTTAGGGTGGGGCAACCCTATCATGTTAGCAAGCTCGTGGAAATGTCGATTGAGTGGCAAGGGTAATGTCAGCAACCACCGGTTACACTTTAACGTGACTAGCGACAAGTGAATCTTGCAATCTGAACTTACACCGGTAACAAGCTAGCATGCATAATGATCAAGTAGAATGCCGATGGTGATGACTTTATTAGGTCCAATGAGTTTATTGCACTCAACATTATCATGAACCGTGATGCAACCACCATTGAGTAGGATGATTGTTGCCACATCTTCTAGGTTTAATCTCAATGTTGGCGGCAACATATTGTTGTTGAGCTTAGATGCATGCACCAATGGACTTAGGGAGAAGACCCCTATGTATCAAACACCATTATCACATTATGAACGCCAAATAGAGAGAGTGATGGAAGAAGAAGTGAATGAGTGTATGATATGTGGGACCTATCATCTTTTGGCTTTTTTAACTCATCATGCTAGCATATAAGCTAAAAACAAGCCCAACTCAGATTAAGATGTGTACAATAGGTAGATTGAAAAGTTGAGGAACCACCAGATTTGTAAATTTTATGTATTTCACAAAATACTCAAATTTATGAAGAAATAAGGAGTAAATAAATTTCTTACTCTCCGTTCAGGAATACATATCGGTTTTCACTGATAATAGATGAACTTAATTTGACCACTATTTTTAAGTAACATCCAAGTGGATATGTTTAAATATCAGATATTAGGAAATTACATTTAATTACAAATCTAATGGTACAATTTTGTTGCTACATAATTAATGTTTTTGAAATATATTATTCACCAAAGTTTAAATAGAGGGGTACTAAATTTCTTATTTTACAGTAGAAGAAAAGTATATTATCTATTTTACCACTCAAAAGTGTCATATCTCCTTTTCCACTTCAAAATAGGTCAACATAGTTTAACTTATATAGAAAATTACTTTATATTTATACATAAAAATCCAAAAGTTCAGAAATATTCTAGCATGGCATAATAAATGTACGAAAGGTGCAGTTGTTTTTTTTTACTAGGAAACATGTTTGAACTTTGTTGCCTTTTATGCAGTGTTATAAGAAAAAATTCGGAAAGTATACTTTATATTTTTCAGAAATTATATAATTGTGGTAATTGGCTACAGCATAGTAGTCATTATTTAATATTTTAAGAAAAAAAGGACAAGTAAAGTCAGTTTTTCCCTTGGAGTCGTACGTCATGTCCCTGACAGATCAATAAAGACACTCTCTAATGCATTAGTTCATGATAATCTTATCAAGCACTCAAAATATAAAAAAATATTGCTGTGCTCATCATTTGTATTCTCACCATTGTTTGGATGTGTAAGATTTTCCTCAGAATCTATTTTTGTCACTAATATATCGTCCATATATGGTGGTATGGCTCAGCAGGTGCAACCAAACATAACTAATCATAGAAAAGGATTTTTGTAGACCGCTAATTGCAACCTCTCTCCTCAAAAGAGGAAAACCTAACACGAATTAAATAAAGATAAAATTGGCATTCATCGCCACCTTATTATAAGACTATAAAGTGTAATATATATATCCTCTTAGAATAAACCAGAAGATAATAATATTGTATATTACTGTCAAATAGGTTATGTCCTACAATACATGCAATCAAACCCTAAAATCTTAAATCATTATAGATGCAAAACACTTTCATATAAGTACTTTTTTGCATGTGTTTTAAATATATTTATATTAAAAGCTAATACTCCATCCGTTCTAAAATATAACAATCTAATACTAGATGATGAGACATCACATATTACATTCTTATCCAATGCCAGGTTAATACATATTTTAAAACGGAGGGTGTAACAATCAATACTACTTTATACAGTACATGACATTATAAAAGAAAAAGTACTCTTATAATAAGCAGAGAGATACTTATTAATAGTTGCATTAGCCAACAAAAGGAGCAATCCCTATGCTCACCATGTGCATTTGTTCTATTGTTTCCATTTCCTGGGAATCTATCTATCTTCTCCACTGTCCATCATTCACAATTCCATAGAGGTATGCATGGACTAGTTGCATTCATTGCCGGTGCAACCAAAACGGCCACATGATTGGAAACAGAGTTGATGCCACATCCATACATATTCCGAGCACAGATGCTAGGGGACAAAAAAGTGGCAAGCGTGGAAGCGCCTCGTGGTCTTTTTGAGGCAGAAGAAAGGATACCTGTGTGCTTGCTAGCTTACTAGCTAGTGGGATAATCTGATGCACCAATCTTGGTCGTTGGAGGCAACTTAGATTTATTTGCGAGTGGGATTAAGTGCTAGATCCCCCATGCATTATTGTATCTTTGCCGTTCATGTTGCAATATTCCTTTCTATTTCATATCTTACTGTATGTACTCCCTCCGTTTCGAAATGGTTGACGCCGTTGATTTTTTATCACATGTTTGACCGTCCATCTTATTCAAAAAATTTAAGAAATTATTAATTCTTTTCCTATCATTTGATTCATTGTTAAATATATTTTTATGTAGGCATATAATTTTACATATCTCACAAAAGTTTTTGAATAAGACGAACGGTCAAACATGTGCTAAAAAGTCAACGGTGTTAAACATTTCAAAACGGAGGGAGTATTATTTATGCGACAGTGCTGGAAGATAAGTTTTTTTTTACTTAATCTTTTACCCATTAAGGAAAGACTGTTCATGTTGTTGCCAAGTTTCGCATCCGGGTAATTTAAGTATGATCGTGTGTGTGTGGTGCGGTTACAGAAAGTTATATATTTAAAATCTTGTCTAAAAACATATACACCATTTTAAGAGAGCTAGCTATTGGTTCTGAGTTACATACTACGATTTCAAATAAAAATCTAATTGTATATGTACTTTGATGTTAAATAAATATATAGTTTTGGAACATCCACGGGATTTATACCATCAGACTCTATGTTGGGCCCCAGTCAGGTGTTGGAAACCTTGGAAGGAAGTTGGGTTTCACTACTATAAAAGGAGTTTTTCCTGGCGGCCAAAATTTGATTTACGCTGGTGGCACTGTTAGTCGCTAGCAAGCAAAGGCCAGTGAAAATGAACAATATTCACTAGCAGAACTTTACCGCTTGCGAAAATCACAAGCAGTTAAGTTATGCTGACCGTCAGAGAAAATGATTTTCGATTGAAAAAAAGTCGTAAATTTGTTGCCAGATCGCCAGGAAAAATTGATTTTGGAGAAAAAAATAATCAGTTGGATCGATGCCTGAGCTCCACCGCCGGATGCACCGGCTAGGCCCCACCA